CGGGGGGCGGAGTCTGCGGAGAAAAGGGTAATCAGGTGGGCGCGTTCTGGGGGGTGAAGCGAGGCCTCGCGGGGCCCTTTGGGAGGGAGGCAAGCAACATGTGGGGCCGCGGAGGGAGGAAGGTGAATTCGGTATAAGTGTTTCGAAAAGAAAGTTGAAAGCCTCTTTTTAGCAACCCTCACCAAATTTTGTTTGGTCCCAGTCCCTCGGTCTCTGGAACGTTCTGTGGGCGGAAAGTGAGTTACTGTGAACAGAGGAGAAGCCAATAGGGTTTTGAAGCCTTGAAAGGCACCGCTTTGACCTTTTGGAAAAGTTACTCAAGCAGCGGCTCGGGGGTGAGGAGTTGGTTTTATGAACCGATGAAAGCCCTTTACAAGGAAAATGTCAAGAATGAGAGGAACCTAGTCCGGGGAAAGCCTTTTTTTGTATTGTTGCTTAACAATAGAAATACTTTTTATTACTTTAAGGAACGTCTGTTGTCCTATTTTAATCTTAAAAGTAGTGGATACCTGCCTTACACAAATACTAGGTTTAATTTCTCTTATTTCTGTCTTTCTCTTGTGTGCAATGAGCATCAGCTGACTGCCTGGCTAATGCTTTAAGTAGATTCCAGATCATATTGTTCTTGCATTGTGAAAACGTCAAAGCTGCAACTTCGCAACTTGGCACTTGTTAACTATGCCCATAAAAAGAATCTTTTCAATGAGGGAAGGAATTTACAGGTTGTATAATGGATAGGAGAGCTGGGGCCAGTCTATGGGTTTTTTTCGGAGGAAGGGAGGGATCTTATTCCGTAATATTCCGGCGTAAAGTAAATACATGCTCTCACTTTAAAAATCTAATCAGTGTTACTGGTAAATGTGATATCTTTAAGTTAGGTTTCAAATTGACACAGTTACCTTAGCGTATGTCCAACATTGATAATAAACATTCATTGGAACATTCCAAGTAAGTCATGAAAAGATTTAAAATTACTGAACTCCTTCTGTTTACCGATGTTTATCCTCACTGTTGTTTTCCTTTAGGCAGAAATAAGAAATCAGATATGATTTTAAGCAGTGCCAGTTTGTGTTAGGAGTTACGCCGTGCGAATGCTGCAGGTTTTAAGTGTGTATGTGTTTTGCGGGGCAAAAGAAAGCCTGTGAAGTTGTATTTATATCGACATGAATTCCAAAATAAACTTTTGAGTTCCAAACTGATTCCTTTGGCTTTGTTAAAAGGTGAACTTTAATAGCAGCTCCATTTATTAAGTGTTTAAGGTAGATCCTCTCCTTTCTAAAACAGCAATGTAATGTTTTACAGATGAGAAAACTGAGGTGGAGAGGTTAAGTAACTTATTAAAGGCAAAGTAGTGGAATTGAGATTTAGATACAGGTCATTCTATATGCCAAATCATGGGTCTTGCTAAGCTGTTACATAAAATCAATGTTTCCATTATTTTTATTTTTATTTTTTGGTGAATCAGTAAGTGGCTTAAAATTTTTCTTACAATGAGTTTTATCAAAAATTAACAATTCACTAAATACTTGGGGCTGAATATATATTAAAGTTAGTAAAAAAAAATGCCACCTGTCATTGGCATTTTGTTAACTAATATTTGATCTTTATAACCTCATGGTATAGGAATTATTTTTAAACGAGTGAACCCAAGCTCAACTTTAATGTTTAAGGTCACTCAGGTATGAATAAAGTGAGGACTAAAGTCTGAAGTCTGGCTTCTAGAACATAAACCTCTGGCTCCAAAACTTATTTTTGCACTTTCCTCTAAGCCAAGCGTTCTTAATAGATAGAATTGAGGTCCTGAGATAGAATTGAGGAAGTCCATGAACTTGGGTGTGTGGGGGGGGAATTGCCTGTTTATTTTTACTAGCATCTGATTGAAATCTAGAATTGAAAAGAATTGAAAATTCTTGAAATTTCAATGAATGCAACAAGAGAAATATTTTCATATAATACAGTTTTTGCAGATAATCTTGAAATATTGTTTACATTCATTACTCTTAAAAAATCTTGTTATTTAATGTATTACTAGTAAAGAAGCACATTTATTACTAAATTAGAAATTTTAAAATATTTTGATGACTATAATACAGTTGGTTTATTTTGTGATCCTGTGTATTTCATATATTTAAAAACAGTATTCTGAAAAGAGATCCATAGATTAATTGGACTATGAAAGAGGTCCATAGCACAGATTAAGAACCACTTGACTATACACCAAGTTGCTTGTGGATCACCTTTAGTAGGAACTCTCTAATCTGGGATCTGTGAGTCCACTGCAGTTGTGTTCAAAATCTTTTACTTGAGTACATTTTTATGGAGAACCCAGCTTAACTAGGGATAGATAATAGCACTGATGAAAGTAATGCTGTAATAATAGTGGTATACACATGTATTGTGCTTACTATATATCAGGCCTGTTAAGTGTTTTTGTATGTATGCATGTATATCTACTCAAGCCTACTTAGGAGGTTAGGAGCATTATTATCTCCGTTTTAGAGATAAAGAAACTAAGGCACAGAGAATTTTAAAAATTTGCCCAAGATTAAAAGCTGGTGAATGTTTCAGATGGAATTAGAACTCTAAACTACTTAGCTATACTGCAATAGAAATCTGCAGGCAGCCAAGGAATCCTATTTTAATTAATACTTAGATGTCACTTTTTTAAACTTGGTCTTGCGGACATAGGGCTGGCTATATTGACTTCAGTAGTTGATTGTCTTTTTCTCACCTCTGTTCTGAAGGAGACACATTGTCTGGCTCTCTGGAAAGAGGTAAAAATGTTTGGAATAATTCATAAAATTGTCAAACATGTCCCAACATAAATTCCATTAAAACAAATTCTGTAAGTTTGAAACAGCTCCCTTCTGGCTGCTAGCGAATTATTTTAAATTTTTGAGCACCAAGTAGACAGTTCGCAATTTTTTTCATGTTTTTTATGTTTGCTGACATTTTATTCATTTTTCAGATCATTTTCCCCCCTCTAATATTTTCAGCCAGCTCTATTTACTCCAGTTGTTTGACGCACGCGCGCGTGTGTGTGGTGTTTTAATTGGGTTTCTGTCTCTCTTTAGAGTTTTTCCCCCGAAAATGAATACTTATAACCACTTATTTAGGTAGCAATGAAGTTTGAGCTCTGAGCAACAGTGTTTCGAGTCCAGCCCGAGCTGAGCAGCCACTGAGCTACCAACAGGTAGCAGGATGGCTCAGCTAAAAAAAAAAAAAAGGAAAGAATATAGGTAGCAATGATTTTTATGCACCCTAAGATGCTTTAATAAATCATATACCTTTAAAAATTGTTTTTAATTATGGTAAAATACACATAAGAAAAATTAGCATCTTAACCATTTTAAGTGTACAGTTTAGTGGTATTAAGTATATTTACATGGTTGTGCAGCCATCACTACCATCCATCTCCAGAACTCTTCATCTTGCAAAACTGAAACTCTGTGCACTTTAAAAAATAGCTCCCCATTTCCCCCTCCCAGATCTTACATAATTTAAAAAATAAGTTATCTGACTTGCTAAGTTTTCTACTTTTTTTGGGTGATAACATTTTACATTTTAGGTTAGCCTTAGAGTATGAAAATAGTGATCTATTTGCCTAGATAATTTTTCATTAATTTTATATTACAGTAGTCATATGTAGTGTGCCTTTCACTTCAAGCACAGTACTCAGCTTTTAATTCCATTAACTTAAATAATCACCTATAAAAAGTTATTGGATACATCACTGACTGAAAATGATTTTTTTTAAAGTGACTTAGAAAAGAAGAAAGTGTCTAAACAAATTGTGAAATGATTGCCAAGAAGAATTATAAATAAGTGAGTAGCTGTGTGGTTTTTTAAACAATTTGATTTTGGAATATTTATTGGAACTTGATGCAGAATTTAAAAATGAATAAAAACATTTTCAAATAAAATATTTTTAGGTATAATGGACTGAAAGTGAAGTAGAAATTATTTTTGAAATGTGAAAATGGAATAAACTGCTCAGAAGTGAACATAAAGATGGAAAAGCACTCCATGGTGCTTTAAAGTATGGTTATGTGAAAAACCAGTAACTAGAAATATTGGTACTCAACTAATTTGTATCAATTTGGGTTTGTTCAGGGGGAAGTGAACCTTAGTACTAGACATGAACATTTCAAATCATAATTTCTAATGATAGAGTTGGGTTATGTATTAAGCCTTGCAATACAGTGTAGGTGGGCAAGAGCTTGACAGATACTATCACAGAATCATCAGAGTAACTACTGTGATGTAAACTGTCCTATATATAAGTAATTGCCTTCCAAAATGACTGAAATTTGTGCTTTATTAAATATTTTTGGAAAATTTATCAAAACTACATGATAGTAGCACTGGTGATTGCTATAACTACTGTGAGACAGCACTGATTTAAGAGCTGTGTAACTTTTTGACTTCTAATTCCAGCCTTGTTATCAATTTGCTCTGATTCTAAGTAAGCCAAACAGGGCAATTAGCTTATTAAAAAATCTTTGAAATTTAAGAGTGTAGTTTTAACTAGACAAATAAAAATTAAAACGGATGAAGATTGCAGCATCTTAAAATATGTACTCATTTACATGCAAAATTTAAAGGAATACAAAT